CTCTCTCTCTCTCTCTCTCTCTCTCTCTCTCTCTCTCTCTCTCTCTCTCTCTCTCTCTCCCTCCCTCTCCCTCTTACACATAGGAGTTTAACTGTGAATATTATAGCACAAAATGGAGATATGGTGTAGGTTGGACAATGCAACCACTTTCTACCGCAATGTCTTTTACTGCAGGGTTGGCTCTATTTGGTGTTGGTGTGGTAGCAGTCGGCCATTTAATCAGTTCACTATTAACCAAAGGGGATGATAAAAAACATGATAATGATTAATTAAACAGATTTATCAAGTTTAATCCAAATTAAATCAGACCTTTTGATACATTATGAAACCAGAATATTGTAATTAAATTATACAGATCCGTTAAATGCATTAAACTACACTTACAAGTCTAAAATCTAAAAGTGTTTTCCAAGTGTTTTAAATAAAAAATAATTTTATAATTTATAAATATATTTAAAGAAACATCAACAGTATAATATTTTATTTAATAAAAGATTAATAAATAAAATAATATTTTTTTGTATAGTTTAAAACTGAATTAAATACTTAATAAAATTAAATGCAAATATTAATTAAAATTCTGTAATTTTAAAGTCATTTATAAATGAGATTGCTATTTATTTGTTACAAGTATGCGTTTGGCTGCATTGAAAAATTAATATATACGAAATTGCCTTGATAATGATGTTGCACTTTTGAAACTATAAAATTGTCTAACTGAATATAAATTTAATTAATTTTATATTGATCACTTATATCATTAACAACAGAAATAGATGCAATGGATTTAACTGGAAAAGTGGCATTAATTACAGGTGTAGTAAACATACAATTTATTTTTTATATAAGTAAAAGTATATATGAGGGACTGAGAGCAGAACAAACGTCCAGTTTTAATGTTGTCTTTACTGCAATGTCAATGGTGCACTGTTATAGCAAATACAATAGACATTGCAGTAAAGACAACATTAAAACTGGACGTTTATTCTGCTCTCAGTTTCTCATATATTGTTAAAAATAGGCTCGTCTTCGGGTATCGGCCGAGAAGTGGCCTTAAAGTTGTCGTCTTTGGGCGCGGATGTAGTGATCACTGGTCTGGAAGAGGACGGCATCCATGAAGTGGTCAACACATGTCGGACCCAATACAAGCGCAAAGCAATCGGAGTTTTTGGTGACATAACTGACGACCAGTTTGTGAAGAGTTTGGTCGACACGACTATCGACGAGTTTAGCAAAATTGATATTCTTGTCAATAACGCCGGCATTTGTTTTAAGTTTGAAAGTATTGAAAACCCGGAATACATGAATATATTTGACCGCATTATACGAGTCAATGTAAGAGCGATGCAAATGTTGACACAGCTATCGGTGCCATATCTGGTGGCCAGCAATGGATGCATTGTTAACACATCGAGTGTGAACGCAATTAAGCCGGTACAATCTTAACTTTTAGCTGCAATTATAGTATTAATTTATTAGTATATAGTTAAATTTTTGTAAATGTTTTAGTCATAATTAATATTACTGTATTAAAGATATCGGCAATCAATTCGTATTGTCAGTCAAAAAGCGCTGTCAATATGTTTACCGAGTGTTTGGCACTAGAGTTGGGACCCAAAGGCGTTCGAGTCAATAGTGTTAAGTATGTTTGAGAGAGGGAGAGAGAGAGAGGAGAGTTAATAA